CATTACCTCACAAATAAAATAGAAGGTAATTAATTACTCACCGGTACGATGCGCAACAGCGGAGCAATATAATACATACAATGTTGATCTGTAACAAATACAAGTATATGTGTATTAAAATGAATACAAATTTAAATTTGTCTAAAATAAATTTATTGTCTAAAATAAATATCTGTTACAACTGGGGGAAGGTTTTGGTCTTCCTGTCAATAATTTTAATTGTGAACATACGTTTATTGAGTTCTTAAAGCATATTGAATGTAATATTGATGGTCGACCCAATAATATTGCTAATTTTGTGAGAAAGAATTCTTTACCAATACTTGAAAAACTCCATAATATAAAAAATGACTCGAATTGTAAACTTTTGTCTCATTGGATTGCCTCGACTAATAAATTCATTAAGATGCATCCAGAAGTGTTCTTTTCTAAGGCTGACAAGGGAAATGTGACTGTAGCTCTTCATAAATCAGATTATGTTAAAAAAATGGAATTGATGCTCTCGGATAGGAACACGTATGAGGTTATTAAAAAAGATTCTACGAAGAAACTCTCTAATGATTTACGGGATATTTTAGTTCGCTGGAAAAATAATAAGTATATCGATGAATACACGTATAGAAACTTATTGATTACTGATGGCAACACTCCTAGAGCTTATGGTTTGACTAAAATTCACAAAATTGACTTTCCTCTTAGAATTATAGTATCTTCCATTAACAGTCCGTTATATAATTTATCTCTATATTTACACCGAATTATTAGTAAATCCATTGGTGAATCTCCAAGTTTTATTAAAAATAGTGTTGATTTAATTAAAAAGTTAAAAGATGTTATAATTGACTCCGAATCTCTATTGGTTTCTTTGGATGTAGTCTCCCTTTTCACTAACATTCCTATAGATTTGGCATCTGATAGTGTTGTTAGGAGATGGGATGCTATATCTAAGACAACCAAAATTCCATTAGATGAATTTATGATTGCCTTTCGCTTTGTTCTTAATTCGACGGTTTTTATTTTTAACAATAAATTTTATAAACAAATTTTTGGAACCCCCATGGGATCACCATTATCTCCAGTTGTCGCTGACATTGTTATGCAAGATTTTGAGGAAGTTGCTATTCATTCATTATCTGTTAAGCCAATCTTTTACTATCGTTACGTAGATGATATTATTCTTGCGGCTTCTTCCGAGAGTATTAATGACATTTTGGAACGTTTTAATTCTTTACATACAAGAATTCAATTTACCATAGAAGTTGGTTATGATAACAAGATAAGTTTTTTAGACACTTTAATTTCAGTTGAAGACAATAGGTTGATTTTTGATAACTATCGTAAAGCCACATTTTCGGGTAGATACCTCAATTTTCATTCCCAACATCCTTTGTGTCATAAGAGGGGAGTAGTGTATGGGGTGGTTGATAAGATAATTCTTTATTGTCATCCTAGATTTCAAAAGAACAATTTGTTTGACGCGATCAATAATTTTTTAAAAAACGGATACCCCTTGGATTTTATTTTTTCGACTGTCAATAATAGACTTAAATTTCATTTGAATAACACAAATTCTGTTAATAATAATGTTGGTCTCAAGAAGTTTTTTACTGTTCCTTTTGTAAGATCAATGTCAGACAAATTTACACCGATTGCGAATTCTGTCAACTGCAAACTCGCGTACACTATTCCTAATACACTTAAAAGTTATATTGGGAGAGGTAAAGACAGACTGGAACATACGCAGAACCGTAATGTTGTATATAAAATTTCGTGTAGTGATTGTGATGCTAGTTATGTTGGGCAGACTAAGAGGCAATTAAAAACTAGACTTAATGAACACATCTTGGATATTAATAAATCAAAGTCTCCATCGGTTGTTACTAGTCATCGAATTGAGAATAATCATAATTTTAATTGGAAGAATGTGGAAGTATTAGATGTGGAACCTTCCTACAAAAAGAGGTTGATATCCGAGATGGTTTTTATTAAAAAACAGACACATGGCATTAATAAACAGAACGACACGGAGTCATTGCCCGATATGTACACAAACATGATACAGTCCTTCTCTACCTCTTAGACTGTTTTCAGTTGGTTTTTGCCTCTCATAAAGTACTTATTTCCTCATTGCGTTTCTTGACATTAATATAATAATTATAAAATGCTGTAAATTGGATTATATCTGAAGTTTTATAATATTCTATCTTTGATGACATTACAATTTCACATTATGGATTTGTACATTTTTGACATTATTTATTACACAATTTTTAGAAGGTAACTATTTAACACTTGTTTAACATGTCTATTTAAGAATTTTATGACAAATTATATAAATTTTATTAGATTTAATTTTTTGGATTAACTTTTACACGATGGACTACGATTTCAATAAGCGAACAATAGCCTGACATTATGATTAGCGATACAGAAATTTATAATTTATTGTTACACTGAAGAAGACCCGATATGGGTTGAAACGTTAACGTTTGTATTAATTTTTAAACTTTATATTATACTTTGTTTTTATATATTTGTTCTTGCGTTTTGTATCTGGCTCATTGCCCTTATTATTATTAATATTGTAAAATAAATTTGTCGATGAATAATTATTGTACACAAAAATATTTCTTAATCATAACTTTAACAAGTATTTTATAGAAGAATTACATATTCTTTAAGTAAAATACCTTTTTAGATAATTAACTTTATAAAATTTGAAAAAGTTTAATTCGTTATTATATAATCCGATAATTTAAACAATTGTAAATTTTAAACTCCGAAATATTTTATATGCATTTATTAATATTGTATTACATATATATTATATTATTTATTGTATTAATATTATATAAATATTAATTATGTCAAAAAAATAAAAAATATGTGAAATGTAATATAATATTTATAATAATATAATATTTATAAAAATCTTATACTCTAAAATATTTTATACTACTACATAATAAATTATGTGCAGTATATTATTATATCACAGAGTTTAAAAAATGCACCACCGCGTAAACGAACAATTAAGTACTTCTATCAACGAATAATGGAATAGATTAGGAAAATCTTACCTAGCAGTTGTTCCGCTGTCACTCGATGCCTTCCTGGGTCTTCTCCTCTCTCATTTCCCCATTGTTGCTTCTTCATAGCACTCACACAACATCTGTGTTCGCGAAAATACGTTAATTACGATTAAGTATGCATTAATCATTACAATACAACGAGCTCAGCACTCTGTGCGAGACTCTCGATATTAATCATACACGATGGGCACTTAATCACATTGCAACAGCAGAAAAATAGAATCGCACGAAATTACGAAACGTTCGATACTCGCGACATTTCGCTAATGAAGCACAAACTAACGTATCTAAGATGACGATTGGATCGCGATCCGTAAATTGCACAGTTAACTTCACGCGGTCAACTTCGTGCGAGAGAGACTATTGCCACGATAATGCGACTTGTTGCTTCTAGTTGACCTTCTATGCATCTTTTGAATTTAGAATAACAAATAATATAAGCTCGTGTTTTATAGCTGATGATTGTATTGTATCACAATACGGATAAATAAATATTTAAATTCAATTGTAAAATAACATTTGAAAATATGACAGTTTCTTTACTTGAGCGAGAAATTTCGATAAAATATAAATTTTAGCAAACTCCCAACATACACAATCTATCTGTGCGCAATGATATTGCATAATATTGAAATACGATTAAAAACGGGATTAATAACGACTGTATTATATTTACTGATCACGTTATGCCTTCGTTCGAATTGAAATCAATCCATTTCTGTATACTCGTGATGCTACATTCATGAGAAAAAATGTAGCAACAATTTCATTTGGTTGACAAATTTTATTCTTACTAGTCGTTAATTTAACATGCGCGATGTCAGCATGTCAACTTATAATGATTAATAAGAACACAATTTATCAACCAAAAATACGCAACCGAATTATCATATACTATATACATTCAGAATTTCACATACATATTATTATTATCATAAATATCATATCAATGTCGGTCGATTTATCATAGCTTGTTAGCTAAATCACTCTGATTCTGTTCATGCATTACTTTCGCGCTTTCGATTGAGAGATAGCAGGTAAATTGCATTTAAATCACTGGAAAATTCAATGTTCGATGAGAAATGAGCTCAAATCCACGCAGCGTTAAACATATGATTATCCATCCACAACTATTGCAATAAGGTATTAATATATTATATAGATAATTCATATTTGACATAATCGCTTAAGATAAAAATAAACTATGAAATTTATATATAAACAACCTATAATGACAAACTGCTTCATTTTAAGAAGAATAAATTTTATTTTCGTTTTTTATGATTAAAAAATGAGGATTTAATAAAAATCTTTCAGTTATTTTTCTCTTTCAAATTTTACTGCATAAATAAGATAAAATCATGTTGACAAAAAAAGAATGAGCAGCAAAATTTTCTAGTATTTAAAATTTCTTTATTTATTATAATTACATAATTTTGTTTTTTAAGCAAAAATTTGACTTGAAATAGTAATAATTTTATAATAATTATATAAATAAATTTTACATTAAATAATTGATAGATTGTATTCTCTTAAAACAACTAAAAATCTGTAATACCTATTCAAATAGCATATAATCCAGTCAAATTAATTAAGAATGTATAAAAGAAAACATAAATAATTTTATTGTATAAAGCGTTAAATATTTCGTAGTATCAACATATTGACTGGCATATGGTTTTGGACATACCTATAGCAAAAAAATCAAGAGACACGGGTATCTCGCGCCAAGTATATGCGCGTACTGAGTATGATAACGTGACGAAAAGCAAATCGCGATAAAATCGATTAACTGTTATAAAAATAAATGTTTTGTTTTAGATAGAATGATGGTCGTGAGAGCAAACATTTAAAAATTATATATAGAAAACTTTTATGCTACTTTTTTTATACGTAAAACAGTCTCGATCAAGCGTTTAACGTTTGACGCATAAAATGATCTGTTAATTCTTTTTCTTGCAAATGACACTGTTGCAATGTCTCTAGGTCTTCGCAAGATGCGTATAAATTAAGAGACGAATCGAAGCTTATCGTTTTCTCGAACATTTCATTCTGTCGGAACGGCAATGTTACGTCTGTGGCGATTCTTTTCCTCGGGCACATGACAGGACATTTCAAGAGACTCTCCTGTGTAACGTTATTCGTCTCAAGGATCCTCGAGCTTTCACAGTTCTACGATAAACGAGACGATGTTACCCATCAGCTATGACCTTCGAATTGCTATTGCTCTTCTACGGTCCATTCGCTCTATTACAGAGATACGCGAATAATTGCGCAACGTCCTCCGGTAGAAAGTCAGCCGAAGTACCAGAGGGCGAAGTCGCAAAAGAGCTCAATTTACCTTTGATGCTGCGGCGTCCCAATCCTTCAAAGGAGGCAAGAAACATTTTTGAGCGATGGCGCGTCTCGACTGTGAACACAAAAAGAATAAGTGCTTGGAGGATGAGTGGGCGAATCGCTTTGATCGGATAAATAGGAAGAAAAGACGGAAGAATCAAATGATATTCACGGTCTGTGATTTTACATTTTGTTCCGCGTCGTCGTCGAACCTTGTGAGTCTTTTCCAGTGAGAACGTTGCAACTTAAACATATTTTATTTTAAAAAGAATATGAATCGATACCACACGAAAAATACAATGCTGAAAAACATTGAATAATAAAATAGAAAATAAAATAAATAATACGAGGGCAAGTCAATAAGTTCTTAGAAAATCTGTCAGAAGGCACTCGCAGTGTCATGTCACATTTTTGACAAGTAGCATCTTTCAGCTGATTACTGTCAAGTTTTGAGCGGAATTCATCGAGAGGTTTCATTTCTGTAGACGATTAAAGCGAACAACTTTGTATTTTTTGCAAAATGGAAAAAAAACGAGTTTCGTGCAGTGATCAAACATCTACATATGAAAGGTTTAACGCCGAAAGAAATCAAAATCGAGTTGGATAATGTTCATAGCACATCTGCACCAGCGTTTGCGACTGTATACAATTGGATGAATGAATTTAAACGTGGTCGTACATCCACATGTGATGCAGCTCGTTCGGGACGTCCAATTGAGGTTGCTACGCCAGAAATCATCGATAAAGTTCACGATATTGTTTTGACTGATCGATGAAAGTGCGCGAGCTTGTTGAGGCCACAGGCATATCACATGGCCCAGTGATTTTAATTTTACACGAATAATTGGGTATGAAAAAGCTATCGGCAAGATGGGTGCCGCGTTTGCTCACTGGACCATAAGCGCGACCGTGTGACGATTTCAAAACAATGTTTGGAGATGTTTCAACGTAATAATCCAGATAAATTTTTGCGTCGATTCATTACTGTGGACGAAACATGGATCCATTATTTCACACCCGGACGAAGGAACAGTCAAAACAATGGATTTCACCGGGTGAACCGGCTCCGAAGAAAGCGAAGACCGTAAAGTCGGCCGGAAAGGTGATGGCCACAGTTTTTTGGGATGCACGCGGTATAATTCATATCGATTATCTTCCGTCGAAGCAAACGATCAATGGCGATTACTACAGCCTTATTGGATCATTTCAACATTTTAAAGAAAAAACGTCTCCATTTAACAAAGAAGAAAGTGCTCTTCCATTAAAATGCACGGGTTCACATGTGCCCGACACTAATGGCCAAATTCAACCAATTCCGCTATGAATTGCTTCCCCATCCAGTATATTCGCCAGATTTAGCCCCCTGCGACTATTTCTTGTTTTCAAACCTGAAGAAATGGTTCGGAAGGAAAAGATTTACCACCAGAGAGCAGCTCATCGCCGAAACAGAGTCTTATTTTTAAGGGTTGGACAAATCATGTTATTCTAATGGCTTGAAAAAGTTGGAGAGTCGTTGGATCAAATGTATCGAAAGTATGATCAAATGTATGAAAGGAGACTACGTTGAAAAATAAAAATAAATCGATAAAAAAAAATGTGTTTTACTATATTTTTTTAAAAAACTTATTGATTTGCCCTCGTATACAAAGTGTCTCAGACCATCCGTCCATATCCTTTTTATCTCCGCAGAATAAGATTCAATCAAAAATATGTTCAGATCAAAGTGGGGTTTAAAGATATTTATTTATTGATCATATCAGTTTGACCTTGGGTGGCTTTGCCAAGGTCAGATCAAGATTACATCGATTTTTTAAATGAAACGTCTTACTTTTTATTCTAGAATCTAATAGCCGATATCCAGAGCTTTCCAAAACCCTACAATAAAGTATCTTTTGATTTAATAAATCTCAAATTATGAAGATTAAGCTTGAAGCTTTGCCTATAAAATCGTTTTTAAAAATGTTTCTACAATTTTTTGTTCTTGAATTATTCGCAATTTAAGTAAAGAACATTTTGATTTTGATTGCTCATAACTTCGTTAAAAATCATCATACCGCAATTTAAAAAAAAACAAATTCTTAAAGCTGAAACTTTGCTCAATCAAATGATACAATTGCAATGAAAATTTCGAAATAAATAGTAGATTGGAGAAAAATCCTTTTACATACAATATATGTAACGGGACTTTTTCCCCAATCCAATAAATATCAGATACGTTAGAGTACATTAACTTTATTCTTGTCTGAAACCAAATAGAATAAAAGAAGATGAAGCATTGTAAATTAAATTGTAAATAAAATCAATAATAATTAATTTTTTTAAATAAATATTAAAAAGGCAAGGCATAACAAAATTGAGCTGCATTCAAAATCAATAATTTATTTTTTTCAAGAATTAAAAAAGACAAATCATAAATTAAATTTCGACAATTAACATCGATGGTTTATTTTAAATTTTTTTCAAAATTAAAATTAAAATGTTAAAATAAAAATTAAACTACAATTAACATCAAAATAGTAGTTTATCTTCTTGAAAATAAAAATTTAAAAAGAAACAAGTCAAAGTATAAATAAAACTGCCGATAAAACAACCGATTGAAATCAATAGAAATTTATTTATTCCAAAATTAAAAGTAAATTAAACTGTAAATTAAATTGAGTAGATTCTAAATACAGCTGCATCTCACGGAAAGATCGGCGTCAACCAAATGAGAGATGCGTACCATGTGTATCATGTACTCGTGTACAGGAAACAGACTACAAATGAAATTTCTGCCGTAGTATGCGAGTCACGAGGCTACTTCTCCTTGTGAGAGACATAGCATAGGTTCATCCGCGTGTGTATAAGAACCGCGTTCTATCCCCCCTTCTTCCGTTCGCTACTCATACCCTCAATTTCTGCCTACACTCATGGTCGTTGTGGTTTGCAGTAGTAGCTTTGTACGTATAATTGAATTTACGTGCGGATAACGGTACTTTAGGCCACTTCTACACGGACTGCTCGTCTGTTAGCTCGACAGCGATCCCGTCTTACATTCCGTATGCGAACCTAATCGTCAGAACACCGGAGATTCGGCGGTGAACGTAGATAGTAGAGAAAATGCAATACATATAATTATCTACAGGCAATAAAATATAATGTATACATTTTTAAATCGTGAAAATCGTATTATAATATAATGTGCTAGATAGCCACGGTAAAATTGTGGAAAAATTTTATATTCAGAAATTTTATATGTAGAAATTTCATATGCTGCAAGTGCTGAATTATTTTTCACCAACACCCTCGCTGATTTATGCTACAATTTTTACTACATTCTGTATAATAATTTGTTGATGTTTACATTTTATGTAAATCGTATGTAAATCGTAAGCTTTTGCCGTAAAGCTGAAAATATAATCTCGAACAATTCAAAATATGTTTTGGAATTGGAATCGGATTAAATTAAATTTTTCGTCTTTTTCGTTAAATATTGTTTTATATTGTTTCTAATTTAGCGCTCGATTCATTAAAACACGAGAAACATTCTCGCCAACAAACGTTGCAGCGTACGTTCGTTAAGGGAGTTTCCAAATGTTAAAACAATATTACGAATTATTTCCGCAACGTTGATCAAGATTCGGTATTTGCATGGGGAAATTGTAGAATTCGTAGTACATAGCACTTACGTCGGCTTCTGTGAATCAATGTACCGTATAATTAGCATTATTTTTATAATATACAAATCTCGAGAATATAGATACCTTAATGTAACAAGCAACGTGATTGCACTGTGTCGTCTATTTGTGAATTAATGCGACGTAAAATTTCTATTGCTTTTATAATTTGCAAAGTTTAAGCATAAATCGACCCTTAATGTAACCGGCGGCATAATACTACATTGCCGTAGTGTACATACAGTAGATTCTTCCTGGCACTGGGTCGGCCAAGTAGAAACAGACGTAACGGCAACGGCAGCACGGCGCGGCGCGGCGCGGCGCGGCGGCGTTCCGCGCGAATAATCGTTAAGCTCGAACCTTTGTAATCTCGCGAGATCAGGTCGTGAGCGCATTCCCGGTTGAAATGGAATAATTGAATACAAGTTGCCAAAGTGCAATTGACTTAGCCGCGGCCGATACGAAACTAAGTTATTCTCTGGAATTGTATCCCGGGAGTGGAGCGTGAATGGAGGGATCTCCCGACCCGGCAGAATTTCATTCTACCGTTATGAATATTTTGTCCCGACGAGACTCTCCGCGGCGCGTTCCCGATATCTTTCATCTTGCGAAATCGCAACGCGTCTTCTAACGTTCCACCCTCGATGCATAATAAATTTCATACATAAGAGTACTGGAATTGGCGCGCGCCGGCGCCGTTGCTGTATGAATTGAAAATATCGAACTATAATATAGATAAAGCTGGCTGACTGGGGGAGGAAAAAATTCTATAAATAAATAAAAATATTGTCAAATATTGATATCTACTTTCCATACTACATTCGAGATCTAATTTGGCTCTTAGACGTTTTATATTTCGAACAAAGCGCATATCTAATTTAATGCGCGAGATCAATAGCGTTGATTAGTATAAATTAAGGTGAAAGGCAAAATTTAATGTGTATTTTTAATCTGTCAATATTATACTATCATTTATTTATCTTGATCCAACTCTGACCTCGCGAATAAATAAAATAATAGTTGTCAATATTTGATCGTTAGAAAACTGTTGCAAAATTAAACGAGAAATTGATGTGACACTGAAAGCAAATGGATAATGACGGGTAGAACAAGATACGCTACCGTAGAAAGACAGAATGAGCAACAAGATAGAAGATAAAAGGGAAAAGAGAAAAAGAGAGAAAGAGAGATCAAGAGAAAAAAAACGCGATCTCGGCATTGTTAACGCGGAGGCGGTACGTACGTAATTAATTTCGTTTATAAATCTTGCGGCCGGTCATTACGAGGCTTGACTTTCACGAGTGCGCCGGGTAAAACGAGCTAGCACCCGTCAGCAATGCCTCTTTTGCGTCCTCTAATTGGCAATTAAATATCGACCGTAACGGGACCGAATGCCATCGATGCTAATTTATCAAGCACGAGTCGCGGCTCGCCCATTATTTTTTTACAGCATTATATTCCAGCGAACCGCCCCAGCAACTCGATCGTGATTAGCGATCCACCGCAACAGAAAACAGACGACACACAGAACCGGGGAAATATAATTACGACTTCTCAGTTATGCACAATGTGTGCCCGGACGATGGCCACTTTCCGGAATTTCGTTCCCAATAATGCTCAGATCCTTCGAGCGGAAATAGAAATACTGCACGATTGGATGTAGGATGCCTTTGCTAATCGGATGTCACACGACTGCGATCGAAGATCTATCCGACATTTTATACGTGAAAGTCTAGTAGGATGTGCTCATTATATAGCTATGTAAAGTCCACTACGCTATTTCCGATATCATCGTTTAGCCTTCTTGAAACTTGCGGACCATTATATTAAATCGATAGTACAATTCAATAATGTAATTTAAAGATGTATGGATCTCATTTCGAAACATTACCAAAAATATAAAGATTTCATAGATTGTTTCATTATTACATCTAACTATTTTTGTAAAATTTAATCACAATTCTGTTATTAATTTAAAAGTCATTTGATTCTTTCTTTGTTTCGATTCTTATGTAAAATCGCATTTTGTAATACTTGTTCTAATACTTATTTGCAAATATGATAAGAAAGTAATATTAAAAATTAAATCAATGTTTATACATATACTATAATCAAATAGTAATAAATATTTAAATACAAAAGTTTATTTGGTAATTATGAGTTTTAAGGGATACCGCTCTGATGACCTTGACATACATTCATGATTCTGATTGTAACTTTATCTTAACTAGGTGTCGGTCCCTTATAATTTCTAAAATTTTAGACTTAAAATCTAATTTGTGTAATAAATCTTTCTATTAGTCTCCGCCCTTTGGCATGGGGGAAAGATATCGTGGGACTCAATTCACATGAAAAATTGTGTGCCCTTTGACAGGAGAGAGGTGGAGTGACTCCCTTCTCTCTTATTTTCTAATAGAAAGATTTATTACACAAATTAAACTTTTAAATCTAAATATCTCAAAAACTATAAGAGACCAACACCTAGTTATAAGGCAAAGTTACTCGGAATAATGACCTTGACAACATATGTGAAAGGTCAAAGTCATCGGCATGGTGTCCCTTAAAACTCATAACTCTCTCTCTCTCTCTCTCTCTCTCTCTCTCTCTCTGCTGTTTATTTGGATTCACTTATTTGTTTAAACATTGTTGATCTAAAACTGCAAGAAAATGTAGTCATATTGCGCATAAAGCCATTAAAAACCAAACTTGGTTTTTTACAATTGGTTTATACATATTCATGAGCTAATAAAATTAAAAATTGCTGAAATAGTGTATTGATATTAGCTTATTTTAGCTGCTTGTTTGACTGATACTTTTAGGTATTTTAGATATTGCATGGCTAAAACATTTTTAATATCCATGAATATTAAATAAATTTTCCCCTAGCTATAGAAAGAGCACAGAAAATAACGTTTTCTTAAAATTGACTTTAATGCACGCATTGCCAAAGGATCTGTATTTCTTTTCGTACAATCATCGTGTGTAATTTATACAATATAGAATTATAGGAGGATGATTTTGAGGGTCCAAACCTTAGAAATTTTTTATTCAGTTTCTTTTTGTTTTCAATTATAAAAAAGTACAACTTTATTTATTATTTTAAATAAATTTTTATCGCAATTTTTCTTCCCATTATTACTATGTAAGTAATTTTTGGAAATTCTGTTAGAGCTCAGAGTGTTCGATACATAAAGAAGATTTTTTAATCAAATTTTTGCAAAATTTTTGAATCAAAAAATACAAAATATTAATACTTGCTGAAATATTAATTACTTCAATTACAATTACATATTTTGGTTTATCTATACATTTTTAGGAAAAAATAAAAGTTTAAATAATTTACAAACTCTAATATTTTTTTCTATTTAAAAATCAAAAGAAGGCACCTTAAGCTCCAAAATATCCAAAAAAGCTATTTCTAAAATTAATTTCTGTTTATGTGATGACATAATTGTTGATGATAAAATCTCCTAGATAAAATCTTTTGGATATACTCAAAGATAAATAAAGATATGAATATGAAAATAGAAAGAAATATCTAAAACAGAAATTCAAAGTATATAAAAATCTTAAAAATTTGTTATTGTCTTTACGTTAAAAAAAGACATAATAATTCACGATCAACCGAGTAAACGTGACATAGATAACGATGTAGTTTGGTGTAGCAACAGCATAACCGTCGAAGCTATCAATTTATCCTCTTATGCCTAAGATAAACCGCGATCGGTAATCCATCCAAACGCTCGGATCGCATCATCGTACCTTGAATCTTCTCGTACGCTGCAATATCTGCTCACGATTGCGCGCGCTAACCGAGTCCCCATACGATCTCCGGCGCATCAGCCATTCTCTCTGCAACAACAAACAACCCCTGAAGCTACTGCTGCTGCTGCTACTACTACTACTACTACTACTACTACTACTACTACTACTAACACAGTTACTACATCTGTACTATTACTAACATCACCAGCCCGGTCTGGTGAAACTTTCAAGCTAAACACGCCGGCGCTACATCTGACTAAAGGCTTTATTTACTTTTTGCGAGAGTTCAACGACAAGAAGGGTAACCCCTTCGACTTGCGCGCATACCTCTGTACTTGTATGCACTCGTGAGTATACCGGCGCCCGCAAATTTGCGGATAGATGTGGTTGTGTAGATTACTGTTTGCCATGAAGAGGCATACGCCGACAAAAGTGCGAGTAAACACAACGTACAGGTAACGTCTCTCGGCATACACATACAACGAAGTTGAGTGTCATACTCTGATATATGTATATTATTTATGCGTTTATATATAAACGTCTTTGCAACAGCTCACATAAGCAGTATATTTCCATTACTGGAAGTAATATATAAGTAATGTATTTATAATGCGAATGATTTACTAATAAATGTTTATAATTATTAATATTAATTAAGTACTATTTAAACTCAGCAAACTAAATGAATAATTAGGCAGACACTATCATGTTTTTAACCCGGAGGAATAATCTCCTGATTCTTTTTACGTAAACGGACACCTTGGATGTTTTTATTCTTGAATTAAAATCATGTGATTTTAATTAAATTAACAATATTGTATATTATTGATTGTTTTTTAATTTATTAGTATTTTAAAACATTATGAATATGAATTTAATTACAATTTTCTGAAAAAATAAGAATATAAACAAATATTAAATGGAATAAACACATTAAATATCTTATTATGACAATATTTTCTAAAAAATAAATCAATTTTAATTAATATGTTTTTTTGTGGAATTGTAGATTTTTAATGAAATTGAATACTTAAAGAATAATTTATAAATATTATAATATAATCGATAATTATTGATAAAATAGGAAAATTGATTAAACAATATCCACATATCACGTTATATATTTTATGACAATTGACACTTTTTTCGTTGGCGGGTAAAAATATTCCAGGTGACTGTTCCCGAGTTAATAAAATATGAGCACAACAAAATTAAAAAATAATAACTTAACAAATTGTATATTCAATACAATTTTACTATAATTTATATAAAATAAACACTAATTACTAAATATTATATCTTATTTTTATACATATATATGTATAGATAAGTGCACAAATATGAAATATTAGCGTACTCTATTAGCACTCGTCTAAGAAAAATTTGCCAAACAGAGGTACATTTAGAGTATCGAAATAATTTCTTTATCAGAAGTACTCCTATATGTATATAAATGTTACAAATTACAAAGATTTCGAAAACCGTAATATACGATATTTTGCTCGAGTAACACAGAAGAAGTATTAATGTGTAACTGAATTACTGAATTCGTTATTAATATCGATATAATATTTACAATTAATAAAAAATGTTTTAGATTTAATAAGTTATATTTAGTACTGAATGTAATATTTAAATGTAATATTTAAATGTTTCTCTTTGGTTACAAACTATTGCACTCAAACTCGGCCTTTGCAAGTACAATAAGATCAATTGATCGAGGTCATACCAAAAATCGCGGGCTACCAACTTGTCTCACTCGGATCTGATACAAAGTAGATTATGCAAATGCTCATCGGGATCAATGACAGAGAAACCTGCAGACAAGTTTGGATGGGACAACGGAAAGAAATATAGAACAGGATGGACCGAATGGTGAACGAGTGAAAAGATAAACGTGACGATCGAGAAGAACAGATAGAAGCGAAAGGGAAAACAAGAAGAAATTGCATCTGGCAGAGGGAATGGATCAGTTACGGCGGATCGAACGGCACCACGTTTAAAAAATGGATAAGTCAAACAAACAACTTTTCGTATTTCATAAAATATGCGATACCGGTACGTTGCATACCGATAAGTGACCACTGAATGATTGAAAAAATAAAATTGATAAAATTTATACTTTATCTGTGTGAGTGTGTTTATAAAAAACAGTATAATTTGAGTATCATCGTATAACGTAGAATAAGATAATACGTTATATACCTATTACTGTTTAGCTGTATATTAAATATGTCATAATAATAAAATTACCTTTTACATATACATATATAAGTTTTAATAATGTAATAACATAATCTGTTGTGTATATATAATTACTAATTAAAATGATTGCTTATTAAAATTAAAGGTCGTTTATAATCGTTTTAATATTCGGCGATATTCCTCGATTCCAGCGGTGACACCTCGATGTTAACGCCGAGGACAATTAATGCCGCGCACAATTACCGGGTGCGATATTAACGCAAAGCTTTCGGGAGTCGCTATAATTATGGACATGCCGGTCTCACGCCTTAGCCGCCGCTGTCATCCGCGGACACCTCGTCCGGCTTTACTCTCGCCGGCGTTTCATTTAAACTATCCTCGACGGCGATGTGGCGGCTTCGTCGGGAACAAATTTGCTCCCGTATATTGCTGTACTTATCTGCTCTCGTACCCGGGCGGGCCCGGTAATCCTGGATAATAGCCTGCGAGTGTACAACGAGCGCTCGCGCTTATAAGAAACACCTGGATAAAAGTCCCGCCTGGTTTTCTTTTTTTCTTTCTCTCTCTCTCTCTCTCTTTCTCTCTCCCTCCCTTTGTCTTCCTCTTTTTTTCCTCTCTTTCTCTTTCTTCACGGCGTTCGCCGTTAGAGCGGAAATTTCTGTTCGCCTGTACTTGGACGTTGTATCGGCGAAGTTCGATTGCGCAATTGAAGCTTTTTACGGCTTTACGTGTCGCGATTCTCTACAGCGTCTAATTGCGGACAACGTATTGGCGTGACGCCGCCCTTTTGTGATACCTTACATAGAGCGCATTCCGTTCTTTCGTCTGATAGGATTCTTTGATCAATTTAAAGTTAATTTTTAATCAGCGACGGTTTAATTGAACTCTCTATCCTTGGTTTTCAATCTTTTTAATTAAAGTACGAATTTAAATTTCATTGAATTAAAGTTTATTTAAGCTACTTCCACTTAATGTTACTCTAATGTTTATCTAACTTGATAAATTATTTATTGTAAATAAACTTGATTGAAATAAAACACTTTTATTTAATAGAATTATCTTGTCTTTTATAGAGTCTCCACTTTTACATTTTAATGTTTTTTTCCGACTAATATATCTTAAAATATATTATATTCGTTTATAATTTTTAAAAATAACTAACTTTTAAAAATACGTGATCAAAAGAGAGTAAAATACTGTTTCTAAATAATTCAGCAAGACATGTTTCTTGTATAATTGATAAAAAATAAAACATTACATATGGATTTTTATAAAGAGGTAACTCAAGATAATTTATATGACGCGTGACATCTTCGTTCCTTCTCGTCCGCAACGGGAAGGCGAAGCACTTCGAAACTTTTTACCGCAGGCTCAGCATCTCCGCTCGTGGCTTCGAAGCGATGCCAGGGAGTCCCTGTGACGCAATAATGAAGCACTTCCGTTTATCCCGAGGCGCGTTTAAAGAGAAAGGGTTTCCGACGTCTCGAGATGGGCGATGGAGCTGGCGCTACCGCGAGGTAGTTTCGTGAAATTTTAATTTCCAATCTGCTAAAATTGTTTCTGCGAAAACAGCACGACAGGGGGTGCACGACGAGCCACACTTGGAATTCCACTTTCTTCCAGATACAGGAGCGAATAAATATATCGATCCGCGTGCAGACGGCAACTGATGTGTGTAAGAAGAATCTTCCAGAGAGAATCAAGTGGAAGAATGGAGCGAATTCATTGTAAATGTGCCATTTTTAGATAATCTTTGATAATAAACGGGATATTTAACTTAACTTTAAACTTCAGATTCCGATTAGATTCCGATTAGTAAACCATGTTTAATACAACTATCAGCACTGAACATCGAAACTGAAATAGATTGGTGGTTCAGCAAAGCTATAACTTATTGCGCGAGTTCAACATCTATAACTAAGACGATTTAACGGTTCAACAAAGAAATTATGTCTGTAAGCAAATATGCTAATTCGGTTAATTTTTTGCTAGAAAGGAAATTGCTAATGTAATAAGGTTTTTTTTTATTACAGCAGCAAAAGTACGCGCCATCTTAGTATGTTTTGTTTGAAATTTTGATTTATATATTGAGTTGATTTCCACAGAAAGTTATCTCTGCTATATAAACAAATTTGTTATGCTATTGCAGGAGAGAGAAAGAGAGAGAGAGATTACAACAAATATAATTATCTATATAATTTCTAATTTTATTCAACTGTACAACTTTGCTACTTTAGCATAAAAAACTGGCTATCTGTATATTATGACTATGTAGATTTGTTAAATCAATGAAGATTAATTTTAGTTGTTTCAACAAATCTTTTTTTTTCCGCGTATATGTATATTTGCGGAAGTAACTTGAAAATGGCAGAACCAATCGGAGTAGAGAATACTATCCGCTCTCCACTCTCCCTTGATTCTCTCTAGAGTCTTTGCTGCAAGCTCGTTTTCCACGCGTCTCGCCGACCGCGTTGGAAGCGTCTTGAAAAATTTACAGAACGCCCGCCCTCCGCGCCAGTCAAGCCGAGCTGAGACGCTCAAAGACCGCGGGAATTTACTGCGCTCCCTCCAACTATGAGGGAGACAGCTATTTTCCTGCGTCGTGCTATGCACCTGCCGTCGCGCGGCGATCCACAACGAGAGGATTCGTGCGCGAAATTCCGCGACGTCGCGTCGCGACTGTCAGACCTAAAGAACGTCAGATGGAATGTCATTTTACGCATCTGCAGATGTCACTGATAAGCAGCATTCCCCGTTTATTTATTGCATATCTAATTTACGAATTTTACATTATCAACTAAGGAGATAGGAACGTAAGAGAAAGACATCCCTTTCTGTAAAATATTAATATCTATATCCGGATATAACTTCGTAGTGCGTAATACTTGCGGTTATTGACGACTTAGAACGGATCCTCTGAGGTCGTATAAAAAGCATATATTATAAAGTAGCGTGTAGGAAAGCTTTGAGTGAGGATAAGAAAGTTGGAAAACGAAAAGTGCACAAAGGCACTGAGGTACTAAGGCACAAATTACTTGTATTTAGAAACATCAGATTCTGTGAAGTTTCTATCTCTCGTATTCCGGCAAAAGGATACACGTGAGCCCAAGGAAAACTCACGTAAGGAATATTTTACAGATCTTGCGAGAAATAATTCAAAAAATTTCGCTACAACAGTTTACCCCAAACAATTCCCCTGCTATACGAGAGACGCGGATGTAACGTACTCTCGGCTTTTACGTCGCGGAGAAACGATTATAGCAATTAGCGGATTAAAGTACTTCGCGAATTGAATTTTTCGCTTCGGCGACAAACTGCGAGGCACTTCTTGCGCGTCCACGCGCGTCTTCCAGAGACGGATGAGGAAGACTCGTCGGCGTGACGCTCATCGTCACGCGCGATTGTCGGAGCTGCAATTTGTCGTACGCAGCCCCTAATTTGATATTGTGTATCTGCACTGAGAGGAAATAGGAAATAGGACGCACGAACGGAAATAGCGCGCTCGATCCCGGAAACTAGTTGCATGCTTATTAGATTGAAGCTACGAAGCGCCGTGTGCGTCACCGACGCAACTCCTTTAAGAAGGAGTGCTGGGTCTTCCAATGCGAAAGGGTTAACTGCACCGTCAGGTTCTCGCAGTACAACTCGGAGTTTCCTTTACTTCGCTTTTCCGGTAAGGGGAGCTTTTCTCGACTGCGGCAACTTATCGACAAGGCCAGCTCGACATGAAATAAAATCACACAGTAAAAATTCCCATTTTGCGAATCGAGCCTTCTCTACTTCGTGCCAAAAAGTTCTGCATGTCCATATTTCCGTATTATTTCGTCGGATCCGATACCGAATTTTCTCTCGCCGTACCGGTATTCGAAATGGTTACTTTATTCTATATTTTACCGTCGAAACTGTTTATTCATGCTGTACTGCGTACGACTGCAAAATGGTACGACTCAGATGACCTACTACGAGCTGCATCAGTTGGCGATAAGCATCGACGATGCTAAAGAATTAATCGAATTACCGCATTAATCGAATCCCAGCGTTACGTTCCTGCGCCGTAACTGTGTAACTTTGTCGGGCCAAGAGAACATTGTTTATTAACGTACGTACTCTCGGTGCGATCCAGTCCGTAACGTAATTACCTCACATCGAGGACACCAACGGAGAAGACGCAGCAATAAACATCTAGCGAGATAAAAGGATAAGGATAAAAGAAACGGGGCAAAGATAAATTCTTGCGATAAAAGCACAAGCGAACTCGGCACGCCAAGTTTTAATGACGTTCCTGAGTAATATAAAATACTTTTATACTCATTATCAAGAGAGAGCAATATAGAAAACGTGAATTTATCGAAGAAAGGAAACTTTCCTTGTCCCAGAAACTTTCATCGAACGTGAGAGCAACGGATAAGTTTTCGGAAATGAGAATTGCGTGCCGCACCTACGAATCTTGCTTCAACAAATTTGATCACAAAATAAACGCGTCGAAACCTATAACTATAAATATACAACAAAACATGCATAAAAATATATGCTTTTTCATTATATGTTCCGTATAGCAATCACAAAAAGCAATGTTTTAACAATACTCTTATATATCACTATAATTGTATTTTTCTATTAAATTATTGTACTTTTTTACTTTCTTCTTTTTCTATCGCTTAAACTAATAGTATCTAATCTCATGTCAGAAAGTGAAAAAAAGGAAAAGATCAGTTTTGCTGAAGTATTTAGATCTGAAATTAATTTCATTGAACTACCAAAATAATTTATATAGAACACCCGAGCATGATAAATAATGCTGCAAAAAGTTTTGATATTCTAGAAACCTGCTTGAGCATCTTAGACTGAATTGTTTCACCTTTCGATGAACTTTAACTCATTTATCTTTAACTCTCTTATTCTCTTATGTTCTTACTCTTTTACTCTTTTGTTCATTAGATAAATTATTACATAGTTTATTCAAAGATATGGAACAACCGGTCCCTTATCCATAATTATTTTAATGGTCCAATAAAATTATTTTCAAATTTGTAAATTTTCAAACTTGCCAAAAAAAAATCCTCTATTAAATTACAAAAAAATATCACAATTTCAAACAATTTGTCTAAAACTATTTCTAATATACGATTAGTGCAGGATTTTTTAGATAGGTATTTTTGTAAAACCATTTTTTGTGCAATCACTGAATAAAACTATACTAAATTTTAATAAATATTCATATAAATAGTACCACTAACATTTACTTACAGTAAATAAACATATTTATAATAAAAATAAATTAAATCAAATTAATAATTTATACCAAATGAATATATCTTTATATTTAGTAAATATTTAGTTGGCACTATTCAAACAAATTATTTATTCAAATTTAGTATATTTTTTCAGTGTGTACATTCAAAATGGCAACTGTTCATTGAACGCTAAATAAGCTCTTTCATTTAAAAAGTTGGTATATTTTATTAGATCCTAAAATATAGATCAATCAGATGAAAGAACTCACTGAGCAGTTATCGTTCTAAATACATCCAGTAATAACGTTAAATTATATTATTATCTATTTATCGCAAAAACGCACCTTTGCCTGCATCTCGTCTTTATCAGGACCCAAAGATCGATCAGGTCTCGGCACCGATAAGCTCCTATACTCTTCGATGGTATACGGACGATATGTCGGTTTCTTCAACTTGCTGTCCGACATGCTACATTCGCATTGCTTTTCCAACGAGACGGTACTTGAAATTATTCCTTGACGTAATATTTCGCAAGATCTTCTAGTACGCGTCACACGAGCGGCGTCTTGATCTTCGACAAAGCGACGATAGAAGCTAAACTCGCTGCTGTCGTCCCTCGAGGTGCCCGGAAGGGACGAGCAACCCTCATCCAGGCTGAGCTTCTCGAGCTGACTGTCGCCACAAATCGACAGGGTGGAACCCTCCGGGGACTGGATACGCGGGTACTTCGGGATGTCTGAGAACAAGGAAAAAAGGAATGTGGCAATCCTAACTTTCCGTTGGCGACGCAAAATTAGCCCTGACGACCGTGACGAAAGACAGAGCGAACAATTGTCGCTTGTCATCGCATAGAAACGGCCGCACGCACCAGATGTGTCTCAATTAGTTTAATCAACTACGACCTATTGGCAAAGTCAAGAGAACGAATTCCTTGCGGAAAGGAAAAGTGACGTGAAAAGTGGAGGACAGCGACGTGAAAAATGACACTGTCGACTTCTCGAGGCAGCGCTGGTTCCTCGTTGAAGAGAATGGCGCTTGAAAAGTTTCGCACGTCGTACTTCTATAAGATGACAGGATTTTTAGAAGTAAGGAGGCGAGATACTATCACATTTTTTACCTATTACCTGGAAAACTCTCCCTCTTTCTTTAAAAAATATGTATTAAATTGACCAATGAGAGTAAAATATTTATTAATATAAATACAAGTTATGTAAATATAAATATGATATATAATTACCATTTTAATTTTGGCTAAAAAAGTATTTAATTATTCTAATTTATTTTGTTTTGTTTGAAAAAGAATTTAGAATAATATAATTGTAATTTTATTATATTTTTCTGAATATGAGATAAAAAATCATAAATGTATCTTTTAGAGAGTAATAAAAGTTATTTAATAAAATAATAAAATATCGAAAAAATATTTTTTATAATTATGGATCCTGTCATCCTTCCTGTGTGCGTAAAATTAGTTTACTTTCACAATTAGGAGACAGACCTGTGCATCGCAGAAAAAAAAACGTAAAGCGGTTACAGTATTTCTGGCGAAAGTTTCAGATATTTTACAGGAAGCTTAATCCCCTTTCGCAAAAATATAACTTTTTTCATCGTGCAACTTTACTGCGCCGTAATATGTAGAAACTGTGGTAGCTATGCCTGCATCGCGCCGCGGTAAAGCTCCTTTCGCGGCGAGCATCTCGCAAAATAAAACTCCATGCCTTACAATAACGTGTTTGAATAAAACTCAAATGTATGACTTAGTGTTCCCAACCCTGCAATCGGACATAGTGTAATGACAGTGTATTAGCGAATAGTCGAGATTCTCATGTGCGCAACGGAGAAAAAATTTCTGACAAATTTACATGAGACCCCTGTGAATTACGCAAATAAAAGCTTCTTTTTCCAAAAGATCAAAAAAGAGATGCAGAGAGAGAGAGAGAGAGAGAGAGAGAGAGAGAGGCAAGCAGAAAAAAAACTCGCACATTCACATTTATAATTCAATGTCAATAGTTTTTCTGAGCGAGAAATTAATTCAGCTAAAAAGCTTACTTCAATTTAAAAGTTCAGAGAAGAGAAACAGACCATTTTTTGCATTGTATTTGAAATGATAATTTTAACTTTTGTATTCATGAAAATTGGACTCTTAAATTGGTACTACATTTGTCGCCATGCTTTCCTCTCATACCGGATCAAAACGGAAAACGTAGGTAACAAGGAGCCTACCATTTCGTTGGCCTCTTACTTTCGTATTTAAAAAATCTCTCTCCGTTTTAGGAAACGGAGCGACAACGTTAGGCTATGTGACAAGATTCGTCCGTCGGATTGGGGAATCTCATTGTTCCCTTCGCCCAATCTCTTTCGCGAACGCACCCGGCTTCTAATCACGAAAGAAAGTAAACGTCCTCGGGGGGAAATTGCATCGCTTTGCCACGCCTTTTTTATCAGGATCTGCCGTCGGCGACGCGAGAAGACGGCAACACGTTGTTCCGCGTATGTTACCGAAGGAGGATCTCGTTAGAGACTAACTGAATCTGCGACGGTAAAGCTCCAAATACGAGGTAGTCTTGGCCGGTTTCCGGATCCATGGTATGAGAATGTTGCCGAGTTTTTTGTCGGCTCTCATACCACCTTCGTTGTCGCGCAGACTGCATTTTGACGAAGAATTTTGCGCCCCCAGGGAACATCGCTCCGTCTCTGTCGTCGTCGTTGTCGCCGTCGTCGTCGTTGCCGTCGTCGTTGCCATCGTCGTCGGTCCTGACGTACGACGACGACGACGACGACGACTTTCGTCGCCTTCTCCTGTACACCGTTCCCCGACGTCGTTCCTCTTTCTTATGCAAAGCCACGGTTCTTCTTGAGTCGCACGGCATTCCTGTCGTCGGGCGAATCCTCTTCCGCTCGTAATTATCGAATTCCTGGCGCCGGTTGTGCCCGTGCACCTGTCTTTACGTACGGTGCAGTTGGCCTCCGTCGTATTGTCTAAAAGATTGTCGACAGAATGCGTGATTAGAATGCGCTCTTTTGCATGGGACAAAGCTGCGTATTTGCTTATAACAATTAAATAAACCCGTATCATCGCGGAACAAATGCTCTTTTCAACATTTTACAATTGACGTAACGCAATTTGTACGCGTCGTGTAATTTTTCCATTTATTAACATCCGCGTTTGCATGCATTGTATTAATATTCTGTTAACTTATACGGCGGCAGCATAAAACGCGCGTCTCTCCTTCTCCTAACACAACTCTTCTCTCTTCAATATTTTACCGTTTATCGTTTCCGATATATTTTCGCCCCAGAATATAATAAAATTCTATTATTCTCTCACCCCTCCCTGCATTTTTCCCGTTAGAATCAATAGCGGATTTCCTTGCCATTCACGTTACTCTCTCTCTCCCTCTCTCTCTCTCTCTCTCTCTCTCTCTCTCGCTCTCTCTAGCACGCGCGCGCTATACTTTATCCCACCTAACTTTGTCCGTCGCTTTAATTATCCCGCAGAGTTTTACATTACCGCGAACGACCAAGAGGGAGGAGGAGAATCAGCCACAGATATTACGTTTTATATTATATAATTGGTACTGTCGTTAACGAGGCGATCGATCGCCTTCGGTTTTGCGCTCGGTCCACGAGCTCTCAGACTGCCATCGAACTTTCAATCGACTTCCCGACGACCATCGCCACCATATTGACGGTACCTTGCGCTGATCATTAATTAATTAGCGGGCGTTATCTGTCCGTCCGTCAACAAAAGCTACGACTTTCCGGATTACGGCGAATCGAATCGCATTACGCGGATCGTCTCTCGTTGCTGCTGTCCTCGTCCTTTTTATTGTTTACGCGCCACGTATACACGTTCCCGCGCGCAATTATCTCCCGTTAACGAGGGAAAAACGAGAGCCGTTTCCAATGTAATACGATAATATAGGATTTTAATCCCGGAGCATTACCTTCGGCAGATCTTGAAGAGATATTCGATTAAATCTCACATTATTTTTGTTATAAGTTCGACATTATACATCATAAATTATTCTTTTGCCTTTTTAATAGTGACTTTCTTTTAATTTGATACATTAGGCAGAATTTAACTTATTGATCTTTTAAAAATATAATATTGATTTGTCCAGAAAAGAAAATATTTGTCAAAAATATTCTAGATATTTTTTTACATTGCAATTATCATTAAATCTTTTTTATAGAGAACTTTATTTTCTAAAATTAAATTTTAAAGTTAGTTCGTTTTTGATACCTTTAATTTGCGATAATGATGTTAATGTAGAATTCAATTGAAACGAAGCAATCTTGCTGGATCTGTTATCGGATTTGATTATTCTTAGGTTATCGTCATTATCACTACTGACCGAGATATGTTTCTTCAAGGAATCATTATCAATACTCTCTAAAGAATCCAAAGAATATTCCGACATTGCTGCGAAATCTTCACCTGGCGCAGAAGTTAATATACACGCCATAAAGCGTGCTTAGGCATCATGATATTCAATCTTGATGGATTTCCACTTTTCGTGCGGCAAACTTCGCGCGATTTTTTTCTATCTATATTAGTTGACCCTAAAAAAGTGCATGCAGTAAATTGTATACAAAATGTGTGTCAATTCCAAGAAAATTTTTACATGACTAGTGTGTTAAAGCCATAATCTTTTGTAAACTTTTTTGTTTTGCTTTGCGCTCGTAATAAACTATTCTCTTTGAAAAAATTTCGAAGAATATACTCATTTAACCCAGGTATTTCAATATTGTACATAAACGAATATAAAATGTGCGGGTTGAATTTAAAACTAAATATGTACAAAAATTTATCTTAAAATTTTATCTACAATATTTACTGCTATCATATTTTTCAACGTTATTAAAAAATTATTCCTATGAAGTTGCGTGTATATATATTCCAATATACATAATTATAGCCTACTTTCTATGATTTATTAAAGATAATTAGAACTTTACTTCATATTTTATTACATAATAATTATAACAATTTTTAAGACATACGAAAGAATAAAAATCAATTACGATTTTTATTATAAAAAATTAATAATTTAATAATATAATTGAATTATAGACTCTTATATGTTTCAAAAACAATACAAAAAATTTAAGCAAATACAAAGGCTATTAAGAGTCAACGCTGTTAGCAGTGCGCAAAAACACAATCTTAAAATCTATAACATAGATACCATGTCGAACGTTTCGATCCTTCGTTTCGGATCATCATCAGCGACAATACAATATAAATTTAAAAATTACTCAGAGTTGCAAACAATGATGTTGTCCCGCAGTATGTAATATACAACCAATCTGAGGCAAGACTATCACTTCTTCACGTGAAAGTATGTACATTAGTACGAATAATTGAGTATGTCTGTGAATTATATAATCAAGAATTATAAATTACATTAAAAATTTTTTTTAAAAAAATATTTTTATTCTTTCGTATGTCTTAATAATTGTTATAAAATTAACCGAATGAGAACTTTAGGGCTGAGCACAGAATTGCCGTAACACATTATTAAGACAGACTTAAGTTGTAGTCGTAACAAGTATTGGCGTATGACGTTGGAATTAATGGGCATTGCTATATCTCTTGATAGCGTGCTACCACGTGCTATATAAGTAATCTAATCGTTTGTAAGCAAGTCAAAAATAATCTTGTTAATCGTCCTGAAAGTCTTAATGTAATTACGGCAATCCTGTGCTCAGACCCTTAAGCTTATGGCTCATCAGATGATAGCATATTTTAAACAACACACTTGATGACATCTCTAGGCTTTATACAGAAGCAAATTATCACTTGATGATAAAGCAGACATTTCGCTTACTTGTTATCATCCTGTCGTTCATAACGAATCTAATTAACTATTCTACATTATTTTGAAAAATAATATCAATATCTGAGCACTAATTGCTAACTGATTTTAATTATTTTTTAATCAATTTTATTTAATTTTTACTTATTAAAGACATATATAATATGGATTTCTATAAATTTTTTGAATAATTTGATATGAAATGATAGTAATAATAAATATATAAAATTTCAAAATTAAGAAATTATATACTTTTGTATTATACCTTTGTTCATATGCAATATAATTTTATAAAAATATTTTACTAAAAAATATTTTGTATTAAGATAACAGTAGGTAGTGCTGTCTTTGCTTTTTTAAATCCAAATTAAGAAACAATTTATATTTTTGTATATATGCAATGTACTTTTATAAAAATATACATTATTTCTTATTTAAAAATAAATCTCGCATTTTAATATCAGAACGAGAATAGAACGTTATATTTGTCTTTCTAGCGTTATGTGCAAAAAAATGCTTATTTAAATAAACAATATGATAACTTGAATGAAAAATACAAACAAGAATAACATTTCGATGCAATATTTCAATAAATTCAACTCTTACTGGAAATATTTAAAAAAGATGTCTTTATAAGCAATTATTTTTTATAGCATTATCTATCACACGTTAATATGTATTTAGTTTTTGTTTAAGTATGAAATAAGGTCTATCCTTAGAACAAAAAATTACATTTTATTTAGATTGATAGCTGATAGTTCCATTAAACTTTGGCCTTGTTCTATTATAGATATACCAGCACTAAAAAAAGTCATAGTTTATATTACGTATATACCATATCTTTTCAGTACTAACAGTGTATCACATATCGAACCATTATCCATTCACAATTCGCGATAGTCTGCATCATGCGATCAATAAAACGCAAACGCACGCATTTATTCTCTGCAAAAGTCTATTACATAATTAAAGATTTCAACATTTTATAGTTATCAGGTCTATAATAGCATGTACCGAGGAATTACAGTAAGACGATTCAAAATAGAACGAGAGATATGTAGTTTTCGTCGTGCTGCTGTAGGAGTATCAAATGCAACTGAACTTTATCGTTCCTAGAGTGAGACATCAAACGTAGCAGGTACCTATTATAAGCTAATGTATTATATGTACTAACGCTCCGTATGTAGGTATGTATGTACAATTGTACAGTAGAAACACACATTAAATGCGTTTCAAGGCGATGTCATCTCACAACAGTACACAGCTTGATCTCGTCACCGTCGGAATTCTTCACTACGTTTAGCATGGGTGAATCTAGTACTTATCATATATCGATCCATAGTGTGTCCGATAAATATATTTTGACAGATATAACAAGTTAAGACGCGTGGTAACATTAAAGAAAGACGGATTTTCGCAATTAAAAGAAAAAATCAAATTAAAAGTTGACTACGTCATTGTAGCTTATCTGTATATTTTATCTTGATGTAATAAAACGATTAACTGTAATATAAGATAAACAATCAAACAGAATATTTATAATAAAATCATCGCTTATGTATATAATTTTCGACATTAACAAAAGAAATACTTAACTTCGCGGACTTTATTCTGAAATTGTTAAGTAATACAATTAATGTATTTATTATGCAGTTTTGCTCATCTCTTTCGTTGAAGTGAAAAAGTGTAAAAATGCTCATTGGAAATTTTTAATGCTATAGTGTGATAAAATGACGATATAACTCACGTTGGTATTTGTAAATTTTTTATCTCGCTTCTTATTGACGAATCGATGTACCCAAAACTCAATTAATTCGGGTTATCAATTTTTTACACAGTTGAAACGAACAGGCTTTATGACTATACCGTTCAAATAAATCCGTTTAATTATGATACGTTTGTTCCGATAATTATAATTGATAATCTAAATTGCAATAAGTAACAAAATGATACGTGTATATGTATATGTTTATATATGTATATATCTATAAAGTCTTAGCAGGCTTCGATTTGTCTCTCCAGTTGGACAACGTGATAACATCAGACACACTGGTAAATATTTTTTTATATTGTAAACATATTTGCTCTAGAGGGGGAAGAAATATACTTAAATCCATATAATCATAATGCGCACATAGTAGTAAAGATCAAGTTTCTTAATATATAACGACATAAGCTGTTCGAATCTTTTCATAATATTATGTTATCGATAAAATTAAAATTTTTTACTTTATTTATCAATCCTTGAAAATTCATTCTCTTCGAAAAAATCATTTTACGTTGATAAATAACACCGGAAATATACCAGATAACATTTATATTGCATAAGATATCTAAAAAGCATCTTTTAGATGTCTTATGCCTAAAACATAAAAGATGTCTTTTAGATATCTTATGCAACATGCATGTTATTTAGAATATAGTATACAAAAAATTCGTAGGCGTTGTAATGAAAATACTTATCACGAAACATTTACTAATTATTTGTAATTAAAAATAAATAGCAATAAATACAAGATATTTTAAAAGTAATTATAACAATATTATAAACAAAATATTATTTAGAAATAATTATCACACTAAATAAGCAGCATGATTTTGCTGAGTTGTCTGTTGCAATTTAACTTTGCCTAGATTTATCGAAGATTAAGGCAAAAGTGTTCAATCGAAATTTTAAACAATTATTAAATGTTTCATATAAGCATTTTCATTCTAACGGTTTTTTATATGCATATTTTTGGTTATATTTATCAATGTATATATAATAATTCTATACTTCTTAGTTATATATACCCACACATTCTGCTTATTTATTAAAAATTATTACATTTGTAAAATTGAAAAAAATTAATTAGTATGAATTTAATCCTTCTAATATAATAAGAAATTTTTTGTCCAAAATCTAACACTTTGTTACTAGATTTTGAAATTTGTAACTACATTTTGCTGTAAATCGATTATAAAAAACAAGATCTACGAGTCGATAGATACAATTACAGATTTTTTTAACAAGGACATATTAAAAATAATTATATAAACAGAGCTGCGAAACAAATACATTTAATAATAATTTTTTAATTTTAAATAAAACAAATGTGTCTACCTCACACGAGGTCATTTTAAATGTTGTTATAACATCGGAGAAAACTAAAATTATAACGCATACTAAAGAAAGAGGTTATTTGTAATTTGATGTATATGTAGTTAATTCTTGTGATATTTCTTCGAGAACAGCAACATAGTATCACGTTCCTCTATTGATGATTGTAGCGCAGTAATCGGTAGAGTGCGGTCAGTATTGTTACATTTTGCTAATTTAAAATTATATACTAGAAGGTTTGCGGGTTATCGCCGTATCTTTCTTCATTATTAATGCCATTTGGTATTAATAATATTGGCATTAATAATGAAGAAAGACACGGCGATAACCTGCAGCAAACCTTCTGGTATAATTGAAGAAAATATCCGTGAAAGCCTCAAAAACGTAATTAAAATTATATTTTTTATATTTAAGGAAATGTATAACCAAAAACTCTTAGCATTATCTAATGTAAATTAAATTATATAATATCTATACACTTTTCAGATTTATATAGTAACAAATCTCTAGCACTCTGTTAATAATTTATTAAATTTTTGATTTTGTAACACAGTAACTTTCAAAGAAATCTATATACATATAACAATCTAAAAGTTTTTAGTTCTTATCCAACATAAATTATATACAATTTTTTTGAATGTATATTGCTAATATTTTGTTATCGAATTTTTAATCTTATTTTTCGTTGATTTAGAACTATCACATGTATAGCAATTCAAAAAGCTATATAAACTCATATATGACAATCCAAAAATTCTTAACATTATCTAAATTATTAGATATTATATATCATAAATTATATATATACACTTTTTGAATTTATATTGTTACATCATTAATTATCAGCTATTTTACATCATATTCTAAATCTAAATGATGCTTACGTTTTATGTACTTTATCATGTATTATCAATAGCGTCAATAACTAACACTTATCCAACATAAATGCTCTAAACGAATCAAGAGTGTTTATCATTCACCCGTCGAGTGAATACCCTATGAAGAATTACGACTAAAGATAAACACTCCATTATTGAATCATGTATGTATGTGTGTGTGTGTGTGTGTGTGTGTGTGTTTGTAGCTTCGGAAAGATACCATTTCCTCTGTATTTCAGATCAATAAATAGTAACAGATAGTAAAAAAATATCACAGATCTTGATATAATAACGAAACACTTGTCGCATTTTGTTTCCGCAACTTTATTAGCCAAAAATATAAAGTACTCCCACAAATTAATATAAATGTTTTATAACTAAAAAAATAAAACAGTTTTATTGAAAAATAAAATAATTTTAATATTTTGTGAACTTTTATTTGCATTTTATTACAGCCCTTTCCATGAAAATGCAATAAATTTAAATTTATATTTATAACCAAGACTGTATTATTTATTTTCATCTTACGCTATATTCTTTACATAAGTAATACATATGAGAAGTAGACTTTTAAAAAGCATTTTATCCAAAATTTATAACTTTCAGAAAATGAGAAAAAATACCACAAAGAAACTACGTCTTATAGAAAGTAACAATTTGCCAATCAATAAGATATAAAATGTTGAACATAATTAATATACTATTTCTAATATACTATTTGTATTATAATAATGTTATAAACAAATGCATTTTATTTGTCTCTAGTTAAAAAACATAATACACTTTAAATGTCTAGATTTTTTTCAGCATAAATTGACGATAAAAATTTTAAAAATAATTCCAAAACATCATAGAGTAGTCAATAAATAAAAGAATAAGCCCTTAGTGAGTCAACTACGTTTAATTATGTATGAATTTAATAATTATAATATACAAATATATATACATATAGCTATCTTAATTATAATTTAAACAATATAAACGTTTCGAATTTTTGAATTCTCTTCAGTATAAAATATTCCGATCTTAAAATTTAATTATATTCAAACTAGAGTTAATATGATCATCCAGATTTTATAAATTCAAAAACTAAATAGAGATGGGTGGTGAATTTTTTGGATATTACCATTATCAAGGATAATAACAATATTATTTTTATTTGTGATACGAGAAACCTACATTTTTAAGAAAGTTTCTCAATTATTATTATTTTAGCTACCCAAAAAAAAACAGAAAATGGATATCATTATTGATAGAGTGTTGCTTCTTTCACACCCTAAATTTCATCAGAACTTTAATAAAATTATAAAGTGGTACTTAATAATGGTTATCTTCTAAAATTAATTTTTGCTACCATAAAAAAAAGATTACATAAAAAATTTGACTTATGGAAACAACAAATAAAGAATAAAGAATGGAACAAACGATGGATTCAAACCTACAGAATAAACAGATTTTTTTCACAATTCCATTTTTGGCCAAAAATATCAGATAAAATAAAAAATTTTTTTAATCAAACAATTAAAATAAACAAATTAATTAAAATAGCTTATAAAGGTATTAATAAACTCAGTAGATTCGTTAGAGTACAAAAAGATAAGCTTTTCCTTTACTGGTTAAAAGTAATATAATTAACTATATATATAAATTAATTGTAAAGATTGATAAGTTCATACGTAGGTCAAACTAGTAGATGTTTAAATACAAGAATTAAAGAACATAAGAACCATATTAATTGGAATACTGATCAACATCAGTGATTACAGAACATAGGTTGAAACATAACCACGAGTTTGATTGGGATAATATAAGAATATTGAATGAAGAAAGAGCAAAGAGATTAATTTCTAAGATGATTCATATTAAAAATAAAAAATCCAGTTTGAATTCAGAATGATATCGCGTTATTAGATCTTATATACAAGCTTTATGTTTATATACAAGTTTTTAAAAAGCCTTAACATTTTCTCTCTCTTATTATATTTATTTCTTTATACCTGTATGTTGACACATTATATAACAATTCATACAGAATTGTCCGGACGACATTATCGTTATAATATTTTAATGTAATTTTGTTTTTGTGTTATTTTATGTGAAGTATGAATAATAGTCATTTTTAATAATTCTTAACATTTATTTAATTGATATTTAATACATAATAATATAGTTCAATTTATATTATAGTAACCCAAGTAACACATAAAGCTTTAAAACGTGATAACGTTGTCTCAGCTTAAATCGCAGCATTTTTGTCTATGACAGTCACTGCTATAACGTCATTATGATATTAGATCCGTTCTTTTTGACTGAACATTTGCACTAGGACTTTCTTTTCTCTCCAGGAGAAGAAAAAAGGGAAAAAGATGAACTGGTGCAAAAGTTTAGCCAAAAAGAACAGGCCTATTGTGACAAAGTTGTATCAGCAAAAATCGAACAACATTTTTAGACTTTGGAAACGATGTTGCGGCCATTCAACTGCACAACCATTTTGTTGTAAAAAGGTTGTCATAGCTATATATATTATAGTAATAATCTGAATAAAATAAATTAATAAGCAGAATGTTTTTCATATATAAATATCCAATGAAAGTTTAATTTTTAATTTTTAAATTACGTAAAAATATTTAATATACAATAAAAACATTTTTTTTCAGCTAAAATTGAACTTGAAACAACCCGAATATCTTTGTCTCACTAGAATTAGATCAAATTTAAGGATTAATTAATTATTACAACATATTACAATTTATAACGTACATATAATTATACTAACGCGGACGCAAATTTATAAATACGCTAATTACAGAACTACACAGATCCTTAAGTAATAATTTTAGAACCACTTAAATGAACGCATGTGTCCGTATAAGTGACATCGCTGATACATATTTTTAACCTAAACTGATAGTTATTTTTGCTGTGACATACAAATTACAGCTATTTTGACTGTAAAATTATCATATATGTTAATATTTGGCTTTTACAGTCAAAATAGCTGTAGCTGCATCTTGACTTTTCTACTAGCGGTCACAGCGACTGTACAGCTATCAACATAGTCAAAATAGCTGTGGCTGTATTTTTACTTTTTTATTAGCTGTCATACTTGCATAGCTATTAATATAGCTAAAATAACTGTGGCTGCTAAATAGTTGTAATTAAAGCTGATAAAACATTATACTAGTTACATTTTTGCTGTTGCAGCGAATGTTATAGATCACGTTACTTGAGAAATTAGTCAACTTAATATAACACTGAAGCCAGGAAATTCAGTCATTAACTTGTTTAAATTCATGTAAATGTTAGAAAAATTATTAGTTTTATTTACATTTTATTAATAGTAAATTGGAACTCAATGAATTTATAATATCTGGATGACCATATTAATTCAATTTTAGAGATAATTAAATTTTAAAATTAGAATATTTTATACTGAAGAAGATATAAAAATTAGAATCGAAACGTTTATATTGTTCAAATTATAGTTTAAGATAGCTATATATATGTATATTATAATTGTTAAATACATACACAATTATAATGTAGTTGGCTCACTCTTTTATTGATTAATTCATAAGAGCTTATTAAGTTAGTATGTATATTATATTCATAGAATAGCTTAAAATATGAGTCTTTCAACATTAAACACTATGCCATTTCTTACTTAAAAAATAAAATTTTGTACAAAAAATGTATTTTGGAAATCTACTTTTCATATTATATAGATCAAAATTAAGACCAAAATTACTTTTTTCTATTTTACTTATATCAATTACATATAATTACAATAACTATTTGCTTCTCAATTTCTTTTGTTATTATTAGACGTTCTATTTCGTTTTTTTTCAGGCATTTATAAATATTGCACGGGGAAAATGGTGTACATTAACGTCGCCGTTTGTCTGTCAGTTCTTCTGTTTGTGATCGGATTATCCGTGGGTCTGAGCATGAACACCTTCAAAGGACGAAATGCTCTCGACTTGGCGCCTCTTATTGATGGGTAATTTAATCGTATAATCAGAGAAGCGTGCCGATGAGAAAACAAATTACTTTGACATATATATATTCGATCGATACCAGCACGGTGACGTTACAGATAATTTTGGGTAATTCCGAAACATTACGAGCTGCGTCATGTAGAAGATACATCAACAATTGAATTAAAATTTATTGTCTTATTCTTTAATTAGCTGTTAATTAAAATATTTATTTTTTTGTGCCTTATATATAATATTTTCCTACGTATTTTATCTTCTGTACTTCTTTGTTTCACAATTTGACGTAATATTTACATAAATACTAATGTAATAAAGATTGATCATAAATCATTTAATATTCATGGACTAGAAAATTTAGTGTATTTTGCAATAGCATAATAATATACATATATTATACATATAAACTTTTTTTTTAAATTGAAAAAGCATTACGAGTATACACGCGTAATTAAAAAAAAATCTATTGCACCAAATAAAAAGTAAAACGTAAATGTACAGTCTTTACTAATTTATATTCTATAATAAAACCTAAGTAATCTGACACGTTTCTTTTGTATTTTCATTGAAGATCTTCCTGTTCCAATTCAAAAGTAATAATTTAACTCTCTTTCAAAAATTATTATATCACAAAATTTACTTAACTCAAGTGATATGCGCCACACTAAATTAAAAAGTAAAATCCAAATGATACTGTTTTTAATAATTTATATATAATAAAAACTAATAATACGTATCGAAAAAACATTGTGCCAAACTAAAAATTAAACTTAAGAATAGTACTATATTTATTAAGTTATATATATATAAATATACTCGTGTATATTAACTATATCGTTAAGCATCAATAAGGAACATTTCAACGGAAACATTTATAAAATCATAATTTAAGAAACATATTTTTTACACATTTGTAGATAAATATAAAGTTTAATTTTTTTATTTAAAATTTTATTGTATACATATACATGGGGCATTATTTGTATCTATAAATTAAGTAATCTATCCAAATTTTGAAAGTTAAATCGTTGCGTCCAATTTCAAACGTGTCAATAAATTTCATAATAAATGACTCCGATTTAAAAAAATAAGAAGTGTTCTTACTAGGCAGTATTTAATCCTATAAAATTAATTTTTAAAAAAATTTAAATGAACTGTATTTATAATTTTTGAAGTCAAACTCCGCCACATCCGTTTAGTGATGATACCGCAAACACTTGCGAGTGATGAAAAGTACCAAAATAATGGAAAGATATCTTTTTTATATTATCTTTTCGATAATATGAAAAGATATCTTTTTGTCGATTTTTTGCCGAAAAGATAATCATATAAAGATGATGAAAAAGTTCTTTTTTTAAATATATTGAATCACTCGTGTTATGTGAAAACAATTAAATGTGAACTAAAGCCAGTGATTGCGAGCATTATAAGTTAAATTCTAATAAATAAAATTAAATAATAATTAATGACTAAAATTAAATACAATATGTTTCGGAACTACCGGTTTTTCTTTAGTTAACATAATTAAAAATTCATAAAAACTGTAAAGCTTATTTTATAATACATAAATTTTTAAAACGTTATCAATCATGAGTCGGTTAAACATTGATAAATTAATGAAAGTATAGAGACAAATAATTATCATAGTATAAAAAGATCATTTCCAAATTTTATAGACATCTTCTCGCTTTGTCGAAAAGACAACTTAAAAGAGACGTATATTTTTTTAGTATTCTTTTTTAACATTTTTTTTTAGTATTTTGTGCTATCTATAGGACTCTCCTTTTACATCAAGCACTTGATACGCGTATTAACTAGTAATTTTCTTTATTAAATTATTTTAATTTTAGCAATATGTGTATTTAAAGAATAATGTACTAAATTTGTACAATATACATCAAAATGATTAATTAAATATACATATCTCGTATATGTTTCATGTATCGCCGAAATTAAGAAAGGTAATTCAATAGAAAGTTACTACCCATATCAAGTGTATACGATGTAAACTAGGAATATAATATTTCTATGCTTACATCGATATACTACTATGTCTTCAGATATTTTTAAAATATTTTTAATAAAATATTTTGAAACAATTTGTAAATTAATATTATGCGTATAATATTGCATCTGCATCCTACGCTTCTCCTTCCTTTTCCTCTAATTAGATAAATTTATCTGCAATCGCCGTTGTATTTGTAGCCACAACGATTTACCGGACAATCTCTATAACAAGTTACACAACGATTTACGGACTTTCCGGTTTGAAGATGATTTAAGCAACGACGATGTTTGGGGAAGAACCGCCTGTCCTACGTGTTTCACCGATTTACCTCGTCTAAGTAAGGGAAAAGTAGGTGGACAGGTGAGTCATGGGCTTTTGTATGAGAAGCTATACAAGATTAATTATTTAAGATTCACGCAACCTATTTGCTCCACAATTAGCAGATTAGTCATTTTATCTCAAGTGTTTCCTTTCTGATAAGTTCTCCTTTCATTATCTTCTCTTTCTCGTGTTTTTGTCCGCTACTTCATTTTTTGCTGCATGTCTACAAGAAGTTCAATTAAAAACCAATCAAAATAATGTAACGTCAATTTCAACAATGTAACAGTTATGTATAACACACGTGTTATTTTATTTTACATTTGTATTATTGAGTATGAAATTGTATAACATGATGTTTTGTTTACTTTCAATTGGTGTTTATTGAGAGGTCAATATCTCAATCTTCGTGAAGAAGCCTTTATCTCGGGATTTCCCACTAAAGAGATAATCCTATTTGCTGTTCGCGCAATAACGTGCGAATCACGCGATTTTTTAGTTCTGGGTGGCGTACGCACCGTGTGAATCGCAATACAAGGATGCCATACAACTAACGTTACGGCAGATCGACGTGATTCGACGACTTATTCAGCGATATCCGAACAATTTGCAATTAGTCACCGCCGCGGGGGACATCGAAACCACATGGAGGAGCGGCAAAATAGCGTCCATGATAGGCGTCGAGGGCGGCCACTCCCTCGACTCGAGCCTAGCAGTTCTGAGGCTCTACTATGACCTCGGAGTTCGTTATGTTACCCTGACTCACGGCTGCAACACACCGTGGTACGTCATACGGATGCGACTTGTATGGATAAAATCCACCTCTATAGCACGAAATATTATAGCAACATTATAGCAATATTTTAATAGTGCGCAATATTACAAAAATTGCAGCAATACAATATTGAAATTTAAATATTATATTGGAAATATTGCATCAATATTATGAAATACTGTAATTTTAGTGTTTTGTAAAACAATGTTGTAATTTACATTCCTGGAACATTACAATTCAAGAGAACCACGAGTTGGTGAAGAAGATTCTCCCGAAGATTCCTAATCTTTTTTGAGTTTTCTAAGCAATCGAATTTTTTAATTAATCAAACTGGATTAATTACTGAAATATTGCTACAATATTGCAGCAATGTTTTATGAAATATTACGATCTTTCGTGCTGTAGGAGCACTATCCTAATCCTGCTTCTACATGCTTAGATACGTTAATACTTCATGCTATTTAAACGCAACATTCTTGAAAATATAAATTATAATACAAAAATAATCACATCCTACACATGAAATTTACGGATTTTTTCCCCCTCCTTAATAATAACCGATAATATCTTTATATAATCTACATATTGCTGTAGATTTTTTATATAATCTACAAGTGCAATTGGCGTCTTTATGTCGGAAACGGAGAGCTTCATCTTTCAGTCTTCATCCTAAATCAATTTTATCTTAAATAAAATTCGATCTTTTTATGGACTTTACCTTTATTTTGACAGGGCTGATGCATCGCCCGTGAATGAGGGAAATGTTTACAATCTGACAGAATTCGGACAGGTATGTATATTAAAATTTTTGAAATTATCGTTGTTATTTATAAGCTTGATGTAACGCTTTGACTCTCATTTTGTATCATCACATGATGAAAATATTACGAGTACGCGGCGTATCTCGATAATTAATGAGATGGACATTGATGTTAATTATTGATATAAACAGCGCCTTCGATAATCGGAAAGCATGAACACATTGCTCAAATCGATGAGATACATTTAAGTTTGATTAGACAAAAACGTCAATCATTGATTAAATAAAAATAAAATGAACATGCGATTGTCTGTAATATTATATAGCTACAGCCTTCGAGATCTAAAGAATTTGTATCTTTTATTAATTGCATATTGTATTAAATGAAATAGTCTAATTATTAAAAATTTCAGTGATCACCAATAATAATGGTATTTTATAAATTATAGACTATTATTTATGAAATGAACCGAATTGGAATGCTGGTTGATCTGTCTCACACCTCTCACAATGTCATGCGGGAAGTGCTTGCAATAACAAAAGCTCCTGTCATGTTCTCGCATTCGTCTGCTTTTAGCATATGCAATAACTACAGGAACGTTCCAGATGATATTCTGCAGTTAGTCGTAAGTGCCACCAACGTTTTACAAAAATTGTTTCACACTCGGAAAAACCGCAAGAATAAAAAATTTTTTACGTGAAGGAACCGGATAAATTACACAAAAGCACATTCTTTCTTTCAGAAAAAGAACAACGGTATTGTTATGGTGAACTTTTACAACAACTTCGTGAACTGCAACGATTCGAAGAACGCGACGATGGAGGATGTCATAAGTATACTATATCTTTAATTACACCCAGTATATGTATATGAATTATTTTAGACAGCATACATATACAGGGATGAGCACGTATTTAAAATACTTTTATTTGAAAACGGTATTTGTGTGTGTGAGACAATTGCATTGTATATTTTATATTTCAGCGGAGTACATGAAAATATTTTGCATTCTATATTTTATGGAAGTATATAAAAGTACTTTATATTTTGTATTTCAGTATTAAAATGAAAGATTGAAAGTATTTTGTATTTTGTATTTTAAATACTAAGATTGACAATTAATGTTATTATTTAAATTACAAAATACATAAAGCCTTCTCAACCTTTTCAATTTTATATATAAACGCGTAATACTTTCATGTACAGATGTTGAAATATAAAAGATAAAATCTACTTTTATTGCAAAAAATTGTGTTTTAAATAAAAGTATTTCAAATACATATCTAGCCTGTATACATACATGTCTAAAATCAGAACATGTTCTAAAGACATCTCATGTTTTGATTTTAATATGCGTGCTGTTTAAGATACAATAAAATTAAAAAAATAAAAATTAATCTAATAAATTTCCCGCTATAATGATTTTTCAAAGTTAAAGATGTAATGACTAAAAAGCGCATGTTTTATGAAATAATATACAAGTAATATATTCTTTTATTCTATTGCAATCCTTATGAATTGTTGTATACAATTTTATAATTGACTCTTATTTGTCTTTATCTTTCTTTGATTTTAAATACTAAGAGTCCTGTATATTTTTCTTTATTCTTTTATTCTATTGCAATCCTTAAATGTTTATTATTTCATTGATCAATCAATTCTACATACGACTAACACACACATTTCAATTTTTTATTCAATCTCTATTATATTTTAATTAATTACATATTGATATATTTTCAGAACATATAAATCACATTCGAAATCTTATCGGACCAGACCATGTCGGTATCGGCGCAGATTATGATGGTATATCTATGTAAGTAATTACATTAATTCTACAACAACACATAACACAAAACAATAAATAAATGCGAATGAAATATACTTGATGAAATTAATCAGAATGCCAGTGGGATTGGAAGATGTTTCCAAGTATCCCGATCTATTCGACCGTTTATATGAGAGTCAAAAGGGAGAGCCAACGTGGACCAAGGAGGATTTGGAAAAATTGGCTGGCAGGAATTTCATTCGAGTTTTGCAAGCTGCAGAAGCGGTAGGTGCAAACATTATAAAAACAATTGCAAATGAATAGCATTATATATTTTCGTTTTATTACGTTTTTACAAAAGGTGCGGGACTCATTATCGTCCGAATCGCCTCGGGAAGATATTATAACGGCAAACGAATTATATGTTGCGCAAAAGAATGAAGGACTTACTCCAGGCTCATGTCAAACCGCACTTGAGTATGTATTATGTTGTATAAATATTTTGTTAATTTAATTTATCGTTGGAAAAATATGGTAGTTTTTTTTTATAATATTCGATATTTAAAGTTCTTTTACCATTTTAGATGGGACCAGTTAAAAACAACAGATGAAGTATCTAACTTAAGTACCACTATGGAAACAATTACTAAACCAGAGGCTTCGTGAAAAAATTTACAAAACGATATGTGATAACTTTATTAACATATAATTAATATTAAAAAGTAAAGTATAAAAGTGTTGAATATTGTTATAACGTTGTTTAGATATTATTCAATTCTCTCCATACTCTCACACACTTAACAATTTTCGAACCAAATTAAGATAATCATGATATTATAAACAATATTATATAAAATTATTTTTCTATAATACAATATACATTTGTTATGCAAATGAAAGATATAAATTATTATTACTCTTTATTATATAATACTTAAAGATATCTCTCCTAGGATTATTTTAAATATGAAGTACTTGTTATCTGATAGTTTTCCATCTCGAGATATGAATAAGATATAATCATTCGATTTGGGAACTTATTAGCAAAGACTAATAAAAGATATTTGTAAACAAATAAGAAGATGCGGATAATCATGAGTTATATAGCTTAAAATTTAAGTAATAAATAGCGTTTTTCTTTAACATTTCATTTTTTATCAAATATTTTATATTTCTTAAAAATAATTTAAAAGTAGTAAACATTACATCATTTGACGTCACGATTATAATTATATACATAAAAAGACGAAGATTGCATAGCTCAACATGCCTAACTTTTGCAAGGTCGCTGGTACGAGTCTCGGTAAATGATATATAATTAAACAAGAATCTGACTTTCATATTACAAATGTAGAATCGTAAAGAATAATTAAACATTTACAATATTAGCCGTTACTATAATTGCATCCATAATTATTATTAAGTATATTTACATCTATATGATGAAAGCGATTAAATAGATATTGAGATAAGTAATAATTATTAAAAAATCAAAGTTAATCGATAAAAAACTTAAATATCTGTTTAAGTTTTATATTAAATTTAATATACTAAGTTTTATATTAACTGTTAATTTATTTGTCAGCGGTTTTCAATGTAATGCTCTCTTTCCACTGACTTGGACCACTCTGTAAATTCCATAGATCTTTGCATCAGTTTGATTTCCGTCATTAAATTGTCCCTGAAAAAATTAATGTTTTATTCAGTCATTAAGTAAAATTAAAGATTAAACAGTGCGGGTGTTGCTTTAGAATAGTTTACAGAGACCTTTAAATATCTTGTTTAAGTAATCTTTATATTAAAAAATGTAAACTAAATAAGATTATGCACGTGTGTAAAAAAGATTTAATAAATTAGTACTAACCACTGAGTCTTCCTAATAAACGGTATGACTTTTGGAATTGGAAATCCATTGAATGTGGTGGACAGACATAAACTGTAAGCACCTGTGTTTTCCCAAACTAACCAATCGCCGATGTGAAGTTCTGGCAATAATATATCTTTAGCAATTATATCAAACGAATCGCAAGTCGGTCCCCATAAAGTCGAAAGAAATTTCTCATCACTCGCCGGCTATATAAATTAATAATAAATTACTTTACATCAACAAACAGATTTATATTGTAATATTTAGTGATAATATTCAATAAATCATATAACATTCATGATTATATATGTACTTTAAAAAGAATTTGTAGAATTTTAGGATTCGGGCAAATTAGTTCATCCAGAAACGAATTATACGTTCCAATATTTACGTAATACATTCTCATAAATTTGCCGTTTTTATGAACGATTCTTTTAGAATGTAAGAACGAGGCTACAATAAATGCTGATTCAACATAGTATCTTCCAGGTTCGCTGATAACTCTTATGCTAGGATCAAGATCTCGAATTGCGTCGTTCACAATATTGGCAAACTGAAGAAATTTAAAAATATAAATTAAAAAATTATTTTGACTGCCAAATAAAAAGAAACTATGGCCCAGTTTCACAACTTACGATTAACTCTTAATCAAGGTTCAACTTATCTCTTTCTAGAATTGGAAAAAATGCGAAATACATATATTGAATCTCGGTTAGGAGTTAACTATGAGTTGTGAAACTGAACCTAAGACGTGCAAGCAAAGCGTGTATACCTTGTCGATATTCGTTCCAATTTGACCGGGAAAACCACCACCGATATCGATCAGCTGTACGTTTTGGCAGCCCATCGATTTGGCGATCGCGATTAATCGTTTGCATATACCGATGCCTCTGCTATATGCATTTAACTCCCCACACGGACTACCGACATGAAAACTAAAGCCGTGCAAAGTGAGACCGAGATCTATCGTAAGTTGTATCAGCCGCACAGCATCCTCGTCCGGTTCGCAGCCAAACTTCAATCCAAGATTGCATTCCGAGTTTTTCGCGTCGCATCGTATGCGTATTACTATTCTATTAAATCACGAAATTATATATAACGATCAGAAGGATGATAGGTAAGAAAGAAAAGCAACCGGATGTTGATTGTAGCTACGATGGCGAATGATAAGCACAACGATTTCACACACTCACTTGGCCTCGGGATAAAGATCCTTTATTTTCAAAAGCTCCAATTCACTGTCGGCGGTTATCTGTTCGACATTCATTTTCTTGGCGTACTTAATGTGAGATGGGCATTTGTATGGATTCGCGAATATGATCCGGTCAGCTTGCACGCCGTATTGCATCACTTGCCTAATTTCTTGCTATTTCGACACATATATTACGTGTTAAAATTAAACCTATTCTGCCCCACGACTTGACAAGCAAAGAAAGATATCATGTAAAAAAATCACAAGAATTTATTTATGATTTTTGGATTTAATTTAAAGAAAATTGATTTAAAAAGAAAAGAATCTGATGCGAAAAGTAACAATGAAGTTATATTTTATTTTAAGGCATTTTTAACGCAAAAATTTTATCATTAAATCAGTATAATTAATATATGTATTAAGAAATAAAAATTTTTAATCTGAATTCACAGTATTTACATTTCATCTTTACCAATAATTGCGCTCATTTAGTATATACTGCAAAACTTTAGAAATAAATACGCGCATTTATCGATAAAAAAAAAGATATAAATACAGGCGTTAACGTTTACGATATTGAAGAATATTATCGTGGCAAAAAGTAAGAAAATTTACCTCGGACGCGCAATCAAAGCCAGTATTTAAAGCTGCCAATATCTTGATTACATTCGGATCGGGATTACATTTAACCGCTGAAATCAATTTAAAAGAAGGTCAAAAACCGGAATTTTTCGGTACAAATTTAAATGACGTTAGGCCCATTCTACAATTGCGTAAATGCAGTTGTAAGTAATTGCTGTAAGAATTCACCACAATCACAGTTAAATATTCTCCTCATATTCAATTGTAATTAGTGAATTTTTTAAATTACATTTACGCTAATACAATTATAGAATAGGCTTAATGCCTGTTCTACAATAGCCGTAAGTGTAGTTGTTAAAGGTAATATATATATAGTTGTAAAAATTCACCAATCACAGTCAAATATTCTCCTCATAGTCAACATATAATTGATCAATTCTTAAAACTACATCTACTTTCAAACTACTTACGCAATTGTAGAATAAACTTTATAGAGAAAGGGTAAAACTGACATACCGTAGTGTGGGGTAACCCTCGGAATTTTGGTAATCCATTCGCGATGTTTGTCAATGATATTACCAATATCCACAATGTAGAAACCGTCTTCCTGATTTCTTCTATCTATTATAGTCTTAATAACGTTCATATTATCCACTACGTCGTCAAAGACATTAATTTCGTTGAAATTGTCAGGAGACATGGTCCGCAATCTTGGATTTCAAGTATTGGAACGAACCGGGAGTAACAAAGTGATGGGAAGTGTCTGTCCAGAGAAGTGTCACCGCTTGATTACTTATAAGCAGCCCGAGATATTATGATAAGCCGCATTGCTTGAATATACGATTACAATCCAACTCTCATTTGTTCAATGATAAGATTTGTTGAAAATAAATGTACGTCCCTCTCTGTTGGTGGGATTCCTCTTTACAATGACGCAAATAATAATAAAAAGAATATGTATTCTGATGCTTGTCAAATAGGTAAACATCCGGCAAAGAATGACTTGACAATATAACAACTAAATTTTAATAGCTAAATTGAACTTAAGAGCATATCGCCTTATGTAGTGTCATTGTTAAGTTTTGGCTATTACAGATAAAAACGATCGCATTGTAGCATGAAACTTTATTAGCTGACAAATATTAGAATCCTCATTACGACCGTACAATTATAAATTAACAAGAATAAGGAAACCGCAATAACTAACGGTCTACTAAGCCATCTACGGTCAAAGCTAGATCACTATGCTTATTATAATGTGTGAATTTTATATACCGCGTATGTAGTTCCCAATCACGTGCTGAAAATTTTTTCAGACTTACAACGCAACACTAAACAACTACCGCAGTAATATCACTTTTTAGTTAAATTGCTAAAGCACATCTAACAATTATTTGATGCTTCTATATAGCATCTTATTAGATCTTTAATAATATGTTGAAAGACATATATTAAAATTTAACAATGTAAATGTTAAAGTAATGATGAATCTAAAATCTGTGAAAAATAAGATTGCGAAGAATATTGAAGATATAATTTGTATGTCGCGGCAGATCGAGAACAATAGACCGATGAAAAAAGCAAATGAACATAGGAAACGTATCTTATAATACCATCTGACGGATAACTTAGCATACTATTTGATACCATCTGTAAAGTGTAACACACATACAATTGTCTCGATCTGCCGCGACATACAAATTATATCTTCATTCTCCCATTTCGAGGCAGTTAACATATGATTAATTAATTATTAAACCAATACTTGCATTACAAAAATTGGTTTTGTCTCGAGTCACGGCTTTAGTTAGTGAGTCTGCTACCATTTTCACAGTAGAAATATACTCTAGTCTAACAGTTTTATTTGAAATTAATTCCTTTACGAATTTATATTTTATATCTATATGTTTTGATCTTACGTGAAAATTATTTGAATGAATTAACTTTATCGCGCTTTGATTGTCCGAATAAAGAATTATTGGTTGATTCACACTTGTACTGTCTATTTCTGACATAAGTCCTTTTAACCACAAAAGTTCTTGACTGGCTAATGCCACTGCAATATATTCGGATTCCGTTGTTGACAAAGAGACCGTCTGCTGCCTTTTTGAAGTCCACGATATAGCACTATTTCCCAAAAGGAATACATATCCGCTGGTTGACCTTCT